GACAGATGACAAAATTCACAACGCAGACATTATACCCTACTTGTTCCCATACGTATGAAGTAAGATATGTAACGTCATCTCTTTTATGAGTTTCTGTGAGAAAGGTATGGTGTGCAGTCATTATCAAAGATATTTTATTCAACCAGACAGGTAAAAGAAAAATATTGTCTTCTAATTTTCTTCAGTTAGCATTTGTGTTATTTTAGTGTTTTATTCTTAAGAAAATCATGTATATATATATATATGACTAGGTAGTATCTACAAGTGTGATTGATTAGATGTAGAGCGAAGAAACTTATAACCGTATTGGATCACATTTAAACAATACTGAGCGTGCTGTTCACTCATAATTTGCATTCACAGTAATTATTAAGGTAACTGACCATCTAAGAAACCCGACATTAATTTATCCACTGCAGAAAGCTACGGCTTCTGGAACTTAGATGACAAAATAGAGCTATGCAGTTGCAGAAAGCCTAAGCATTTCCTCTTGATTTCATGAATATATATATATATATATATATATATATATATATATATATACCATTAGTATGAAGTGATGACGTCTCTTCACGTTCTCTGAAGTTCATAAACGATTTATATATATTTACGATCACCTATGGTGTTTCCAGGCCTACTAGATTTAATTTCTATTGATTTTTTATCTCCTAAACCAAACTGATACTTACACGTTGGTTCACATGTTTCTTCCTGAAACTTTGAAGCAAAGCGATTAGTTGGAAAAGTCTTTAGGCATGTACAACTTCCTATGAAAATTTTTTCAACCCTTCTCCACACTGCAAGAATTACGTATGAACTTCCTTTGTTCATGCCACTAAATGAAAAATTGTGATTATTTTTCGAAACCTGCACTCACGTAATCAATTGTGACACATTTTTCGCAAACTCGTCAGTTGTGCTGTCTTATGCAGATACGCGAACCGATGGACAGTCGGCAGTAAACACTGGACCTAGGTTTTATGCTTGTGGACACTCGTCAGCAAGGTGTATCATCAGCCTCAAAGGTACTGATGTCGCCTCTGAGAATTGAATTCGCGTCACTTAGTGTTTCAGTCAGTGATGTTACCACTGGGCTTGCAAATTTGTACATATGTAACACCTTTCGTCAATATATTCATTAGCCACAGATTAGGAAACAATTTCATGCTGTCTAGTCTTGAGGGCTGACCTCATTCTCCTTTGATGTAAGCTGTTTGGGGGTAGGTGGCTGGACTACTCAAACCTACTTTCTTGCTTGCTGTAAGTTACATAGCATATCTTGAACTCCAGTGGTAGGTTAGTCGAAATCACCTGATCTAAATTAACACAATTAAAGTGATTTTACATTGATATTTTGTGAGAAGTACTCCAGACTTGTACTTCTCATATGCAGAATGGTTTGTTTCGCCAAATAAATATACATCAGAAAGAGAATAACGTCACGTATCAGAGGAAAAATTCTCTATTGCACCAACTACTCTTATTTGCTGAGGTGGTTAAACCACGTGCTCAGCAGAAGGTCCATAACTAGATGTGTCAATGTTATCATTTTATGAATGCCGTCTTAATTAGTGACTGTTTGATGAACTTTGATTGAAATAGTAAAGAGAGGGTGACACAGGCATTAAGAAAATGAAATAATTCTTATTGTTGATAGCATAACTTCCAATCTGGACTAGAGTGCCCAGCATCTTAGATCTGCATTTTTAGATGATACTTCTGTCTTTGACTGTGCCCTTAGGTGCATTTTGTCGGACAAGTTTTCAGGAAACATACAGACTAGATTTATTCTTATTGAGAGGAATGTTCTATTTCACCTCTCTGTGAAGCTAATCTGACTCAATAGGTTATTCTTTCGTCTTTTCATTTTTTTTCGTTTCTCATGATATACATTCCTCAACTAAATTTAATTTCTCAGGTACCTGGATATTCGAACAGTATCCATGTTAGCCATCTCTTTGAACATTTCTCACTTTATTAACTTATAGGAAATTAAACAATTTTCGTTGTTGAACAGCCTCGCATAGCCTCATATAGTTAGCTACTTTCACCTCGAAACTTGAACAGGATTTATGCGAAATGTTTCAATCCTGTAGCTCTTGTATTTCTGATGGCTCTGTAGTAGAGAATTTAACAAATGTAGTGAATTTTCGTTTAAGCTTTTTTTTCGATCGTCATTGATTCTGCTCCCATATTCTACTGATTTAGAGGAAAATCTTTCGCTTGACGTATTATATGGGGAAGCTGTGACTATCCAGTATAACTTAGTTTCTACTCTTAAGTTGCGTTAATTCCTGATGTTTATCTACCCCTAACTTTTTCTTCTTTTTACGACCTCAGTAAAACGTCAACGTTTTGTTTTGCAGGATATTGAAGGCTATCAGCACAGCTAGTGGAATGCTGTTGAGACTAATGATAAAAACATTTGGGGAAAGGGATCTTATATTTGTAATCAGCTGCTTATGGGACATTTTGTCGGACGATAACCGTCTCAATCACATATACCTTACTCTCTATGTTTTCAGGGGAAACAAGTGTCGAATACATTCGACTTTATGCACTTTCGACTTCATTCGAAAATTCGAACTTATTCATGAATTGTGCGAAGAAAATTGTATTGGGAAAGATCCTATCAAGCAATGTTGCAGTGGTGAACAATTTTCGTAACCCTCTTGTCATCTACTTATTTGAACGATTCTGTTATCATCTTTAATTTCAGTATCAACCATTATTATCGCCAAGATATTCGGAAAAAGTTGTACAGGAAGTTAATTTTGCAATATCATTACTGGGAATTCTGTACTGTTAACGAAAACAAGGTTTAGAATAAAGCAATTAAATTTGGAAACTCATGTCAGTGTGTTATTTAAAGTTTGTGAAACGCCACTGATATTATTGCTTTTTAAACTATCTTCAATGATGTAAAACTTGGACAATTAGGGAGTGTATAATCCAACACTATGCTGCTTGTTCTATATACATATATATATATATATATACTGTCTCAAAAATACACTATAGTAGTAATCCATTTAATCCCTTTTATGTTGCACAAAGATAAACATGCCTAAGATTAATCCTACGCTTTCTCATGATTAACGATGTTATGTGTTGATCAGTATTCAGTCTTGTGTACGCAAATGCAAATTTTATGCAATACAGGGCTACTCAAAGTTGGTCATGAATAATGCATTCAGTACAAAAATTTCATGATGATGATAATCAACCTACTTTGAAAGTGGTTCTTTTCCGCATAGAATTAGTTTGCATTATCGGATAGTTCCACTGTTGAGAAGTTTATTTCACCAGTCTCACGATGCAAAATCATGGCTACGAAAAGTGTAAGGTTCGCCGGTTATAGTAAAAGTTAATTCAAATGAATACTGTGACGAGCGTAGCTATCCTTGCAGACCTTTGTTATTTCTTTTGAACCAATGAACTACATGCAGGCCTATTTTTTAGAAATGTTTCTCTAACATGGATAAAAAGTTGATAGAAAATTCTTATGGTGAGTAACTCTTCAAAAATTCTTTTGGTAAGCATTGTTGTAAACTAATAAATGATTTCAAAGATAAATCAAATTTCATTCCCCTCCCATTTTCTTCACCCCTTTCACATATGTTAATTTGCTTAGACTTCGATTCTCCACACATTTTGTCCCTTAGTGTAGCGAGACTTTTATTTTTCTAAGTTTTGACTGACAGTGTATGTCTAAATGTTCGCAGTATCATATTGTTCCCGTTATTCTTACCATCAATGAGATAACTATTATTATTCCAACTTGTTGATATACTCGTAATTCTCCGTTGTTTTACTGGATCGAACTGTTCGACCTCTTTTAGCATATGGGCTCCTATACGGAAGCCTCGATATTGCCTGAATAATTGTTATGCTAGCCACAACCAAGTAAATTATCATGATAAATACTTAAGCAACATTGAGCGATCTGAAAAGAGGCCATATGCCACATGTCGATCAATTCAATCCGGTAAAACAACAAAGAATTACAAGCATATCAACAGGTAGTATTAACTAATACCTGTTGTACAAGAGGTGGCTGTCGAGTCTCAGTGGGAACAACATTACTCACTGGGGTCCAGGTGTATCCAGCAGGCGAGTCCCAAATAAAACGAAACGCACGTCCTGGATTCAACTGGTAGCCATATCCAAGTAAACTATCATAACTGTTATTAATGTGCAGATATCTACTGTTTGTACATACCTCATTACCTAGTTGTCACAGCTTTATATACGAGAAAATCTGTGTGTATTAGCGTAAAGTCTGATGAGAGCTAGTTGGAAACAATACCGCTTGCTTATATGTCTTCTTCTGTTGTTGCAAAACAATTAAGTTCGTCACCTAGTGTGAAATAATAATCTGTACGTTTCAAGCTAACTTGCTTCTTCTTGATAACAAATGGTTTTAACGCATGATACTGATAACTGAAATTTCGGTAACGCAATCTTGGACGTACTAGTAATTGAGTTGCTTAAACCTATCAGAATTAAAAGCTTTATAAACATATTTTTATGACAGCGACTTTTCAATTCCAGTTATTTTGTACTGGTGTGAATTGATAGAATAAATATTTGGGTGAATTTAAGACATAAAAACCTTATGAACCTTTGAAGTCTGTTACTCGAACAGTTATTAAGTGACTGGGTAGAATATAATCATGATTATTGATTAATAAACTTATATTTAGAAAAAAAATTGTCAATATACAATGAAATATGAACAGCGATTAAAGTTTTAGGCTGAATCGAGCCGTCTTGTAATTTCAAAGGGTTTACTAGTGTATATTTACTTAACATGGCTTTGCCCTCATTAGTTATATCATTATTAAAAAGTTAGTTAACACAAAAAGTCATCTTTTTCTAATTATTCAATAAACACAAATAATTCCAACGTATTCAATCAACTGATTTGCAAACATTCATTATACATAAATATGTTTTTATACACATATATTGTATAAATATGTACAAAAAGCATCCTATCACAATGAAAAAGCATCATTTATAGACGTCTGTGGTTTATTATTAGAAATAACCATTGCACCTGAACAATGAATTTGATGATGTTGTTCAGGAGATAAATATGTTCCAGAGGGGCTGTCATTTTTAAAATAATTTTCGGGTAGTCTATGCCTTCTTTTTAGTGTTGTCAGTTCTGATGATCGACTGGTGGCATCAAATGACTTGCAAACAGATTGAGTTTTATGGAATGTATAAAATTGAGGAGCTGCATGTACTGTTGATATTGAACATGTGACAGTGGGTATAATTGATCTTGTATTCTTTCCTTCTTTACTTCCCCCACCTAACGCTTTTGATTGAATATTCTGTATACATAAAAATGTATTGTTACTGAGATTATGCGACACAGTTGTACTAGGAAATAAATCGATCATATCCGTTTCCTGTAGGTGCTGCTTAGTTTGTTCACCAATATAGTTCGGCTTTTTTAATAAATCATCTCTCAGAATATGAGATGAATGAATTAAACAGTCATCTGATGGTGTTGTTTTCAAACAGTCATCATTAGCATAGTGATGCTGAAGATGTGGACGATGCCAAAGATTAAGACTATGACAATAACAACTATGTGCCGCTGTTGTCTGTATTCCTGGTGTCACCATTAAGGCATTGGACTCATTTAGCTTAATAGGTGATGACTTTCGACAAAATAAATCTGTGCTATCCCATGGCAAATTTTCTTGTTTCAGTAAATTTGGGTTTTTCAAAACTAGTGTCATGTTACTGATTGTAGAGGGAGTGGGATCAAAAGAGTTATTCTTTGAATCCAATGGGTTAAAAGATCCGGTTGTTAGAACGGTTGATGTTAAGAGAAGTGAAGATGAAGATTGAGGTGACGTGGACGAAGAAACAGATGGATGAGTTAGAGTATTCAATTGAAAAGATGATTTCAAATCCAGATTATCAGGACTCATTATTGTGGAATTTAAAGTTAGCTCTGGATTTAGTATATAATTAGGTTGGTAATATTCTTTAGTATAAAACCTTGATGGGCTTGAATGCTCACTGTAACAACTTTTGCTAAAACTGATGATGGCTGCATTGTAGGCAGGTTGTGTTGTTGCTTACAGAGTTTATCAAATGTTTTCTTATTTATAAACAGTCTATACTTACGATAGATAAGGAGTAATGTTATGCAAAATAATGTAAGTAATACAAATAAGCTGAATAATATCCAGGTTAAATGAATTGTTGTCAGGCATAAAGCATAATTACATAATGGCCGATCGTGAGTTGATGCAAGTGATGAGGTAGACTGAAAGTCTGACTGATGGTTTGGTATTGGGTAGTTTGAGTTCATTTCACTGTTTTTGGTATTTTCTGTCTCTGAAGTTTGAAGTGAAGATTCTTGCAGTCATATCATAGTTATTGTCAATTTATGTATTTCACAATAGACACATACAAAACATATATACATAAACGTGAATATTACTTTATTCTGGCTAGTAGTTTTAGGAGAAACATGCTTAACCTCGACTGTCAGGTGAAGTCAAAATTGTTGTCATGGCTAAATTCTCTTTCTTATTTATTTAAAAGATTCACTTTCTTGGCAGAATGTACATTTAGTTCTGCCAGATGTTAACATTTCTAAATTATGGCACATTGCCATTTTCATAAAGGATTTTCAACAGAATATGAAATCGATGAGTCACCGTGTAATCGTAGTTCCCGACAAAAGATTGATTTACAATCTTCTTACTTTGATAAACCTCATTTCAAATGCATCTAAGCTGAAAGTCCATAAGCGCTTCTTCTCTTTTAAATTAGTCATATTCGGATAGCTACCGTAACTGTGTAGTCCTTTTTGAGCTGATCAAAGTAATATGGTAACCACGCTAAGTGAGATGGTGCTTCAGGGACCAGTATTTTGCAGCAGGGTGTTACGAATCAACTTCCCAATTGAAGTGGTTAGTGTATCTTACTATTTTGCTCCCTAACCTGACAAGTCTAACAGTAAGTGCACTCATCTTCACAAAACTGATGCTAGTTCTTGAGGATTTAATCTAACATCAATGTAGGCGCCTGAAAATTATCATACACATTTTATGTACACCACTCCATCCCATTTGTAAGAGTTAAAACACTGTATATAGTGAGACTGCATGTGATTTACTGTCAAGCTTCCTTTCTTTTGAAAAAGTTGTTTGTTTTAGGGCACTAGAATTTTTGAAGAAGTTACTCCTCTGATTTATTTGCTTTCTTGTACGATTTATTTTATGAAAGACAGTGTATAATAAATGCCAGTTTACACGATTAATGTTTCAGTTTAATCATTCCGTACATTTTTCATGATAGTTCTAATGTTTTCCGTTCTGATCCAGAAGCTTCTCAGTCACTACTGGAAAAAGTTAAAGGCAGCGATATTCATCAACACAAATCAACATGCATAAATCAACAAACCTATGAAGTTCGGTACATACAGTTCTTACCTATCATTCCAGTGGACAAAATACTTTAGAAATTTTAATGCTGAGAATATTTCAGTGTTATTGTCGGTCATCTGAGGAACGTGTTACTAATTGCTTTCTTTATATTTTGTCGATTGCATATCAGCAAGTAGTAGGAGTTATAATTTCATCCTACTAAGACTAAATGAAATTGGAATACTGTCGCTCTTTCGAATACAGTCAGCTACGCTCGTAAGAAATTCACTTTAAAAAAAAACCATGATATTGACATCATAGTAGACCTGTGTAGAAGGGCATACCATATTATCTAACTGAAGCATTTATTAAACTCATTCAAGTAAATGGTGAATCCGTTCAAACATGAATCTAGGTAGTGGTCATGAATTGGCAAAAAGGGAATTAAATTAGAAAAACATTTAGGAAGCCAATGATAAGAAAACCAGTAGAAAAGAAATTAGATAGTTTGGTATATGAACTCACTTTTATAACGTTTTTCAGTGACTTCAATATGAGCATCTGCTTTCACTCGAAAGAAATAACCATCACCTTTGAACATCTGATTTGCTTCGCTGGTCCCTGAATTGATTTTTGTGTTTGAATCAAAATACGACATTATTTTATCTTCTTCACGCATATCTCTTGTCGTTACTTTCTGCACACCATTGTCTGGCTTACATTTTGCCTAGAAATACAAAACTCCGATAGCATGAAGTTATTTACACTGAGTTGGAGATAATGTTTTCTAGTTAAATAAATTAAATTGCTTTAAATCTGATGTAGATAACTGAAGGAAGTCATCTTAAAACGATTAACGAGGTCTTTAGCCATTATGATTTTCATCCTGAGAATAGACACAGTCAAGTAACAAACTATTATATAGAATACTACAGTCAAACTTTGAATTGGAAAGGTATATGGTTATATGCTTTCAAACAATTGTACTGCTAACCATTTAATCAATCGACTTAACAGGTAACCAGCATCGTTACAAAACAGCTACTCCATAATCAATTACGTCCTCTCATCCACTTCCATTCTTTTAAACAGTATCTGCATGTGTAATCACCATGAACTCATTTAAACGATCTCATGAGAACTGTTTTTAAAGTGTAGTCGAACCTCGATAATTTATACGAACTGTGATCAATGTTTGACAGAGTAGTTCCATAAATGTTAGGAGCTGTGTAAAAGATTGCCGTTAGATACAGTTTGGATTTGTGTAAGTCAATGTGTGTTTGAAATGAAATAATTCAAGTATTTCTCACCTATATGTGGCCCGAATATAAACTAAATATTTATAATGTCTGTTTATTGTTATATAGATATTAGGTGAGTGTGATATATCAATGTTGTGATAGTAATCATTTCTACTATCACTTGTTAGTAAACTGAAATTTGTAGTAGCGATCTCCTTTTTAGTTTTTAGACCCTACTAATTTAAATTTTATAGTTATTTCACTCTCAAACTGCATGACATACTTGACATAACAAAGGCAGAAGAAGCAAAATGTTTCTGGATGTGGAATTCACTATCTTTTTGATAGTAAAATTTCAAGAACATCAAGCTGATAAACATACCAATCAATTGGCTTGCAGATAAGCGTTATTCGGAGTAAATAGTTATAATTACTAGGATGTGTAGAAAAGCTGACATCATGCAAGGTTGAATTGATCTAAAATTGATTTCCTTTTCTCTTTTTACCTAAAGTCAAAAACGTAGCGCTCTATTTTTTGGGAATACCACAGTGATGTCTTTCGCAAAACACTGGAACTCCTCGAGGAAACACTTGAAGTATTTAGACATCAAAGTGAATAGTAAGATAATTTCTAGCAATTCAGAATAGTCACAAACCTAAGAGCATACTGATTTTTGAACCCTATTTTAACCACCATGAATGGCATCGAAAGAAACTTCCTGCTCATTGCAATACGCAATGATTCACTTTAACAGAAACTTATAGTTTTTGTTTTCGGTTTTCTTAACTAGTGGAAAAAGCTAAAACAACCAACTGCCATATGAAACACATTAATTCAACATTTGGGATGTAACTTATGAAACTTTTAGTAAATTCAAACATGTGAGCGAGGGACTCTGTATCAAGGATGGCTAAAATGTGTGCTAAATAGCTCGAAATTGGAACATTTTTGCACAGCTTGATTTTTACCGATGTTTAGCTAAGAATAACTTATGATGAGAATCATAGATTTATTGCTTTAATGAGTCTGATACAAACGCAGCTACGTTTCGCTGACCAGTCATACAAAAGATGAAGTATGTATTTATGGTCAATAATGAATTATAAAATTCGAAAATGTTCAACCAAAAGTATAACTAAATGCTCATATTTTTATATTCATGTGTGCTTTGAGCATTGTTTCGGAAAAAAGCCGGACTGATTATGTTACTTTTGCAAGGAACTAGGATTAAAGGGTGTTGGTGTTTATGTAATACCACCATTCATGCTAGTCAAACTAAACTGTTTCATTTGTCATGTATTGAATAGCAAACAATAACGTGGTTGTGAACTTATCATTCGATAAATATAGATGAATCAGCTTTCAAATGTCAAATTTCACCATTAAAATATTGAGTTAAGTTATTCAGTTCTTAACATATCTGACAGACTAACTTCCAGCACTGGATATATTTGATTTTCAAGTGGGTGAATAGGAATTAATCGGGTAGGCTATATCTAAGGGTTAGAAAAACTGCTTGATTCCCGTTTGTGTGACATCCATGTGTAGTTCTTCTAGACATAAACAAAGTCAATAACTACCTCTTGTCCATCCTTAGCATAGGGTGTTTCTGGCTTAGTTTGACAATTTCACTTAAAAAAGTGCCTGTATAAGTTAGCTTATAAATTACTTTTTTGGTGAGTTTGATTAACAGGAAAATTTACTTATCGCATTCCACCTTCCATTAGTCCCATTTATGATTTAGCCATTATAAATCTTGTCTAACTTATCACCAATCAATCACCACCACGTAGCAACCAGTCTCTGAAAATTAATCTATGCATGCTTGAATTAGTGATTGATTATTTCATACTTATCTAATAGAAGTCAACTGTCTAATGTGATTATTTGTAAACGTTTTTAAGTGGAATGACGTTTAACTTAGTAAGCTCTTGGGTTATTTTGATGTATTTTCCACTACTGCCATTTTACCCATGTAATCATATCTCAGTCAGGTAGTGTTCGCCTGCAAGTTATAGAAAAGGATATTTGTTTATTTCAACAGATGTGATAAAAGACGTCTATATAAATGAGGACCTAGTGAAAATATTTGTTTTACACCTGAATGTCTTAACCCATGGATTTCCTAAATCCAGGTTTTCTCAGTCATTTGAAACAAGGTTGGAATCATACAGCCTTATTTTTTCGGGTATTCAATGATTTTTTGGGAGTCTTTTGATAATGGTAATGATTTATCGCTTAAGTTTCAGCCTTATATTTTTTCGTATAGACTTTCAAGTCATTTAGTACAAAGAATTTGGATACGTATCACCTGTTCCCAATTTTCCAATGATTCCCTGCTTCACTCACCAACTACTTTCTGTTTAGTGATTCGTTTCCATGCTAGGGTATCGAATCACTTGCGTCATTTTCTTTTCTATTCTTTCGAGGTCCTATTCGTAATAAAGATAGTTTCGGTTGCCTTGAAAGGTAGACAGAATAATACATTGTAAAGGCTATAATCTAGAAGACAAGACTGGTATATAGAAAATCTGATGGTCGATATTTCTGTAAGCTTTTGTATAGTGTGTTGAAATGCAAAAGATCGGTCCAAACTGAAGTATTTTTTCTGTACAGCAAAACCCTAATGCAACTAAATGAACTGAAAGTAGGGCACTATTAAAATTCAGTGAATTTTTTGCACTACCGGACACTTAGATTAATACTTATTCTGTATTGCATTGTGACCAAAACTGTTTATTATGCCATTAGTAAATGGTTTATCGCCGTTATATACTGTAGCTGTATTATCAAGGTCATATAAGTCTAAAGATTAATCATGTGAAGGATAGATAACCAATCTTTCTTAAATCCAATCATTGGCCATAAGACATTGAAGATATTCATCTACATAAAACTGTCATAAAATTATAGCAAAAACAACATACAACCAAATCGAATAAGGCAGGTAGGAATGAATTATACAACCCTGACAAAACTTACAGATATGTATATAAACACATGTATCAATAGATTGTAGGGATATGCTTAGGAAGAGGAATCGGGATCGATGGAAACGATGTGCATTATTCTCAAGAAAAAAGAGTACAATTCAGAAAGTAATTACTCTGGTATATTTCATTGATGAGATAACTACTGTTGATCTCATAACACAGTCTGCCAACAACTTGATTGAAAAAAGTTGAGCAGCAATGTTTGTTTCATGTAGGTTCACAGTAATTAAGATACCAACGTTAGATGGGGAAGACATAAATATTATTTATATTGGAAATATTAAAGATACCAAAATCAAACTGAAAAGGTCGAAAAAGGAATCTGATTGATAAGATTAGGAAAATGGATTGACACGGATATTTTTGGAGGATAACTCTAAAAATCAAGTCCGTTTGGAAGAGGTATCATGATCCTGTACTGGATATGGCCATATCAGATATTTTCATCCATTTATCAGTATGAACCGATCTAATACAATGAAACATTTTTGTGAGATCAAACTACTACCTTGCTGTTTATTACCTGAATATATGAAACTATAAGCTTTGGAAAAAATGTGTTGGTTGTAAAGACAGAAATTTGCAAATAAAGTATACGTTTTTAGTGATGAGTTTATGTCCCTTGGTATTGTCGCTTTTCTTTATCTGTTTTCTCTTATCATGATGGATAAGTAAATGTCTAACTAATTCAGTATATATCTGACTGTCTTCATGATAATTAGGCACGAAAATCTGGGATATCAATGCCGAAGTTTGAAATGCGATTTATTTTGTTACCATCAACTTTTGTTTATTTATTGGTGAAATCATCTGTGACATAAAATGATTAGGCAGCTGGAGTTTTCACTGCCATCAGCTAGGCATATTTAAAGACCATAATTTCAAGCTATTCAGGTAGTTTTATACCTAAGAAGTATAGACCAACTGGACAAAATCTAAGACCATACACTACAAATGTAGGTTATTATGATAAGAGCTTAAGTATAATTCTATCATATTTAGATCAAAACATGATTCTTGTGAATGTTTCTCTATGTGTGCCTTCGGTTTTTCCAAGGAATTTTGCGATTTTCAATGAAGATTAAAAAAATATGATCAAATGTTACACTGAATAAAAATCAGACTTTATTCTCATATTCTTCCAGGACACTCACTCGGTATCATTCACCAAGCGTATTCATAACTGGTTATCAGTAAATGTAACTTACAGTTCCTAATACCTGAAGAAACAACAATAGAAATAATGCAAAACTTCCCATTTAGACATTTAGTAAAACAAACAATGTGAGCGATGAAATATTTCTTTTCAATTAGCTCCTCATCAACGGCTCTACGATGATAAAGCATTTTCGAAACGTAAAATTACATACCAGTCTAGTCGTGAGAGTTGTTTAGTGAAAGGTTATCAATCTCGAAGTATCAAGAAGGTGGTAATTGATCAGATAATTAAGACAATTAACTAAAGCATAGATTAACTATAGTAGAAAGATTT